TTTAAAACACACACCCACACGCACACGCATAAACATAAAAGAAAAGCGAGTGCACAGCAATATAAACATTTATGCATATGTGCACCAGTTCATAAACATTTCATTGAAATGCGCGTAATAACAAACATAACAACAATAAGAACAACAAGCGTCGAAAAGCATAACAGCATTCGGCAAATCGGATTTGCTCGCCTCAGCGCCTTTAAGGCATTGGCATCAGGGACTCCCCGGTGCAAGCTAGCACACATGGCTACGTATGTACATACATATGTGTGTGCATATCGCCAGTTTTGATGTATTGAATGACGTGCGTTAATTGTATTAAAATTGACGTTTGACCCAAAATCACCTGCAATATTTCAAAACGTATTGGCAGCAGAGCGCAGCGCTGAAGAAATTGCTTTTGAAAACTGAGTGCGAGTGCTTTCCGCTTCAGTTAGGCCACCGTGAAAGTCGCCACGGCCACGGCAGGCGAGCAACGGCGTAGACACGTGGACCACAAATGGAAATTAAGACAAAGTAATGGAGCACAAAATCATGTGGTGAGCACCACATATGGTGTTGCAGGCACACACGCACATACCACACACATACATACATACATATCTACATTTAACCGATTTTAGCATTAACTTGCAACTGCATACATTAAGGTTGCATATGTGTGGGAGTGTGCGCAAATTGAAAATTGTGCGGAAATGCGCTTTCCAATGCCAATTTCGGTTATGCTCAGATGCGCTAGAAAAATATACAAGAACAAATCTAAATTTGAGTCAATGTTCCCTGAATTTGCTCTGAAGTTTCCTTTTAGGCATATTGACAGCATTTCAGCTGATTTCTTAAACGCTATTAGGTTAAAACTTTGAGTACCGCTAATTTGCGGTTTGCGCTTTTGGAAAAAAATATAATTAATTATGTAGAATAGATACATACACACATACATATATGTATGTATACGACGAATAAGGCATTTAAAAGAATTATTGTTTAATATTCTCCACACTTGAGGCGCACCAAAGCAGGCGCATAAGAAGCCAGCGCTTTTGTCGTTTATGGTAAGGCACTTCCTTGTCGGTGGAAAGCACCATAGCAGAAGTTACTAGTGGAACGACGAAAAATTGGCACGCGCCAAACTATTATCTGCCTCCCACACATAAACACACACACACCCAAATGCATGTATGTGTATATAAAAGATGTGTGTGTGCGTGTGTTTTGGTCAACACTTAGTTTATTTAGTACCTGTCCAGAATTTCTACGACAAAATTGTGCTCGTAAATTTTGTGGTTTGCTTCCGTTGTTCCGTATTGACGCGTCCGTCCATAATTAAATGGTCATTGTTATTGACAATTTAAGCAAACGTCGCTTTACAACACTGGCACACCAGTTGATACTTTGTTTACTTAAGTGCCAAGTAACTATGTACAGTAAGTCACAAAGGAAATGGGTACAAAAGTACAAGAGTACAAGGGTACAAAATTATAAAATAAGGTGTTGTTTGCTCTACACCAATGGCTACATAAGGCAGTTACTAGTGTCCATGGGTCAGCGACACGAAATTGTTGATTCGTTGTTGTTGCTACATTTATCATATTGCTGACAATCGTTCACCGTTTAAACTGTTGGATAAATAACGTAGCGAAGAAAGCAACTTCCACTCAAGCCGATGTAGCCAAACAAACAGCGTTGCCAACTGTTACTGCAAGCGGAAATGTATGGGCAATTAGATGGCGATAAAAATACACGCACAATTTCTGTTTATTAAATATCCATTGACATTTATACGTATTTATCTTTCTAGAAGCAACGAAGTAATTTTCCTCTGTTAACCTGTTTGTAATATTTGCACTTTGTGCCCATTGAATTCATAGCCAAATTGTCAATAACAATTTAAGACATATTCTCCATATTGTAAAATAAATATAGTCTTCAATATCACCTATAATAATAAAATTGAACTGTTATTTTTAGAATCAACCATTAAAGCAGTAATATTTTTTTCTTAACTGTCAAGTATTTGTGCTAAAATTGTCGATACCATGAAGAGTCATAAAAATGCTTGGTAATTTATTTTGCTTTAACTTAAGTGATTTGAGTTAAAAAATACTTGTTTCAACGTAAATTATCTTAACAAATTAGCTGTTTCCGCATTCCCAATCCTGCCTTATTTTTAAATGAACCAGATATAGAGTAAAAATAAAGCTTTTTGTGAAACTAAAGATTCTATGCTATAGTGTGCTGATATCAGCGTTTTCCACAAATGAGCAGCTTCTTGGGGAGGAAAGGACATGTGCAAAAATTTAGAACGATATCTCCAAAAGTATAGGAATAGTTTGCGTATATACAGACAGGCAGACGGACTTGGCTAAATCAACTTAGCTTACCATGCTGATCATTTATGTAAATATTTTAGAGCGTCTCCGACGTTTCCTTCTGGGTGTTACAAACTTCGTGGCAAACTTAATATGCCTATATTATAATATGATGCCCATAATTAGACTAAGATAATTTTTGCGTGCAACTTCATTTACGTTTTGCGTTTGTTCTGCTTGCGTCAACCAAACTACACCTATTTCTAATTTTAGAATTATTTACAGTGTCACCTACAGGAAATATCCCGTCGAATAAAGCACAGTTGGCCATAAATAATCCCACGACATTCTTTGAAATCGAATTTGTCGTGCCGCAAATGAAGTCTTCCCATGTTTTTTATGCTTCTTTTGTCTGCTAGTAATTAACATTAAATCATTTGAAGCATTTAAATGACCAATTAATGAAAATACTCTGAGCATATTTTAATTTATACCCTTGGAACACACCAGTTGCTGGCTTTTCATTTATAATTTATTTGACTGCTTTGGCGTTAGTTGTGCATATGTTCTTGGGTAAATTAAGTTCAAACCATTTGTTGGTTTTGTTTTTGTGTGTGCGTACGCTTATTTCGAATTTCATTGAAATTTCGCGCATGCGCCCGCAACTGCTTCCTACATGTCAACGCTGCTCGACCGGGGCTTGAGCGGCCGCGCCTTAACCTGCCACAACAACACTGACTGCTAACGGGCGACTAGCGATCAGCGATTCGCGGCCAACGACAAATGCGCTCAATCATTTTCACTGCTGTCAATGTCAAACAAATAACATACAACAACATCAACAACTACATAAATGTGTGTGTTTATGAAATAAGAAATTGTTATGTGTTCGCCTTGATTTGCGGCAGTAGCGGCAAAAACAATAAATTCAATTAATGCCGGCAGTCGGCCAGGCGTTCGCCGGTAGCCGGAGTTACTCCTTTTTCCGCTATCTGCTAGGTGAAAAATGCACCGACGAGTGTATGTGTGTGCAAATTTATGTGTATGTTTACCACCAGCTCTGAATGTATGTGTGCTCCTACATTTAATTTATTTGTTGTTGTTAATTTTATTGATTTCATTTTGCATAAATAGCTGTAACAAAATGCGTTCACTGGCGCCTACAACATCAGCGACCGCTAGCGGGTTGTTCCTGCTATAGCTTCGCGTTTGTGAGTGTGTGTGATAACAACGTTGACGATATTTCTTCTGTGATTTTAGTATGCACACCGCCGCTGTGTATCTCAATCGAACAGCATTTGCGCATAAAATTTCAATAAAACACTTCAGTGTAGCGGCTGGACGCAAAGGATTGTCTGTGACGACACCGCCTTGGTGATTGGTCGCTGAAGATCCATGCAAAATGAAGTGTATTTTGTTTATGGCGATAGCAAAGCAGTGTACATCAATTAGTGAAAATTCGAAAGACATTGTTCAAAGACGCAAGCAAACAAAAAAATGCTAAGAGCTCGCACAAATAGTGGGAAAATGTCTTTTAGATGTATTAGATAAGGTTTTTGGTAGAAGGTAATGTCATTACAACCATTCTCTTATTGGAGTAGGCCAATATTGATTTTTGCGCAGATTTTAGAGTAGAGGGTGCAAGAAGATAACTGCGAACATTTACTCTGTTGTTGTTGTTGTAGCGGCTGAATTCTGCCGAGTTGACAGTCCTTGGCCGGATAAATCTGGGTCCATTCCGGTTACGTAGACCCGACTGTCGTGGGAACGGAACATTTACTCTGCTACAGGTCTGTAGTCCACACATCTTTCGATAAATAATTAGAGATTTTGGAATTTAATAAGACTTGATGGATTCTGCTTTTTTTTTTTAAAGAAATTATCTTAATTTAAGATAATTTTTTGATCCAATAACCTAAACACAGTTGACAACGAAACTAATTGGGTCATTGGGTCATTTTATTTGTGTAAATTCTTGTATTATAATCAAAAAGTACATATTTTTAGGTACACTACGAATGATTTATGTCACATGTGGACATGATTCGATTCATAAAACATTGCACTGTTTCTCCAATATCATTTGTTTAGAAACTAGTCGCAGACCCGCTGTCCTCTCGCAATCTACCGCAAGACATTTGGGCTCTTTGTGAGCTCGTTGAGCGCGATTCAAAAATCAGCCCCACCGCGGCTGCAAAATGCTTCTCTACTAGAGTAGAACGCAAGATGTTAATTGAATAACTCACTCGCAGTAAGGTGTATCTTGTCCCAACTGGAGGGATTTTAAAGGTAATTGGCCGAAATCGATGTTAGTCGCCTCAACAGATATCTTATAAAGTGCTTCGTCAATACATAGGGGTATCTTGGTCTATACCTATAAAGGATTAGCGCCGAAACCTAACCAATTTAGAGCTGGTCTGGTTCTCGTGGGAATGAGTAAGACATATCCTGATCAAGTCCTTACGAATTTATTTGAGTTATAGAGGCAGGTCTTTATTTCACTATTTTGCTCCCCAATAACACCAATATTCACTTCCACTTTCACACTTACTTTCTAATATGTTACATACATTTGTCGATATATGTGTATATACAATATTCTTGTATTTAGTTAAATAAATACGTAAATAGCAATTTTTGCCTAAAAATAATAAATAAGAAACAAATAAAGTAGAGTATCTCACTCACCTCTTCGCCGATGCAAACCGCGATATTTATTTGGCGATAAGACGGGCGGTCGTGGAGCCATCATATTTGGCACCTCATCCGGTGTGCTGAGTCCCGTGTTCTTGTGGTTATGACGTTCGCTCGCCTGCCGCCAATTGCCGAAGGAGTGACGACGTGCATTGCTGTTCGGCAGTGTGTGATGATGTTTGCTGTGATTTTCATGTGGGTGCACGAGGTAAAAAAGAAGAAAAACAGGTTGTTAAGAGGCATAAGTAAAAATTAAACAGATGAAGACAAATATGAAAATCGCATGCACGATTAGCAAATTAATCCCAAATGTCAACAGCTGCATTCATCACAGTTGTCAACAACTCATCAGTCGGCAATACATTCACACTTGTGTGCATAAAGGGCCAAGTCTACGGCCGGTGTACTTACCTTGAGGGCGACATGCAAAAGACATCATCAAAGTCACTGCCTGCACCACCGCCTCCGCCAACACCGCACATCGAGGAATTAGATTCGTTATAGGAGCCCAGCCGTTCACGGAACGTCTCCGAGTGTGAGTTCGACGAACGCTGACGATACATCAATGGCTGCATTTCAAAAGATTGCTATATAAGTACACACCCGATGTTTATAAATTCATATATACATAGGTATGTGTGTGAATAGTGCACCCGGTCAGACGCGAAATTGTCAAGATGCAATAGATGAATGCGAAAAATACAAATAAACAGATGGGAAATGATGTTAGAAGTAGAAACTATAAAGTCGGAAGGCAACTGCTGCCGGTAATTGACATTTTATGATTTGTAAAAATTTTTTTTGATGCTTTGATTAATATGTACATATCGCCAAACTAACGGAACTTCATTTAACCATTTCCTTATCGTTCGTTTTCTGCCATAACTCACTTGTGAGAAGCCGCCTAAAGAACCGAAACTGCCACGCGGACTCCCTAACGCCATAGTGGCTGCCGAATCGAGATTCGCCGAAGTGATTAGCCGCGTCTGTTCCGGTATGATGACCCGCGGACTGCTGCCTTTCGAATTGCGTCGCTTGAATATGGAAAATGTCTTGTTAGAGCTCTGAGAATCCGGCGTGCGCGGCGACTTGCTGTCATTGTAGAAGTAATATGGGTTATCTGTAAAGGAACGGAATCTAATAAGTTAACATCAACAACGGGAAAAATATATGCGAATGTTTGGGAAAAATGAAGAATGTAAGTAAGGATGTGCTTATTTTCTTTCCATATTAAGATCATTAAGTATTTATAAGTTAGACATTTACGTTTATTGTTGTCTTGAGTTTTGAGTAATTTTAGCTTTAAATATAAAATTCCATTATGTAGGATGATGTATATTTATCTGCATTTCACGTTAACCAGTTAAGTCAAACTTTATTATATGTTACCCTGAACAGTTTGTAACGAAGTAAGTAACACCCAGAAGAAAACTTCAGTTTTTCAGATATCGATCTGAAATTTTTCACATGTCCTTTTCTCTTCAAGAAGCTGCTAATTTTTCGGAACCACCGATATCGGAAATTTTTCTATTTGACAAGATATCTTCACAAATTCGGCGTGGATAATTGCACATAGCAACGGTACAATCTCCGAAAAATTGTTCAGATCGAACCAGTGGCGTAGCTAACTTGGGAGGCACCCGATGCGGAAGTTGGTGGTGCCACCCTAAGGAAAGTAAAAAGCAATAAATGTTATAGGTATGATAAAGAGCATAGATCATTTATTATTTATAATATTAAAGAAATAACAAAACACAATAATAACTAAGACAGTAAAGGAATTTTTATACAATTAAAATGTCTTCTAAAATTTATAATTTGAATTGCCTCGTATTGAATGGCAAATATACCGAGATTGCAGGGCCGCGATTGGGTCATTGTTGCCCGCAAATCGTTTTTTATTGATTTTAATTTACTGAAACTTCTCTCACATGAAGCTACGAACACTCAAACCGTCATAAACAATTTTAGTGTAATCGTAATATTTGGAACAGATTCTGTAAAATCCCATTCTACAATAAACTTAAAAATCTAGAGACACCCAATCAGTAACCGCATATATAGAGCTGAGCTAGTGCTAGTGGAGGAATCCCCGAAAAATAAATTTTGTGTAAGCGATTTATTTTTGAGAGACCGGGTGGGTGTCACCCTAAAAAAGGTGACCCGGTAAATGATTCCCACTAATTTTTAAATTTCAAATGGAATGCATAACAGTAGTGACAGGCTTAGATGTCTCTAGCGCATCATATTTAGAAAAAGTACAGAAGACATTCTCGATCGATCAAATCATGGTTAATTAATCAGATCTATATATATGTGTTCTCGAGTTTTTAGTGAGGTTCCACTGCCAGGATAAGGATGTAATTTAAAGTAAATGAGTTAATAAATTAGACTATAAAATTTTCAACAAAGACTGACAACTCAACAAATAGCCATCAATTAGTAGAACCAGCATATTAACCCAGCGACAATGGCGATAAGTCGTGGTGACCGAAGAATTACATTACAGCATTAAACAATGTTTATTTAATCTTAATTATGATAATGGTGATATGCTTTTTTGGTAAAATTTTCCAGATAACCAAAATATAACAATAAAATTATGGGCAATATTTTTGAAGGTTATGCAGTCTCTAAGTACAGCATTTGCACGTAAATTTGGAAATCCACAAAATATTTTATTGAGATTATACGATTGCAAATCGTCATAGTAGCTTCATGACTATGATCAATATAATACTGTTCGAACGTAGATTTACCGAGCCTAAGTATAGTATGTATAAATATTTACCAAATAAATTTGCGTGCTGAAAAGTACCTGAGAAAAAAGCATTGGTTTGATCCAAAGCGATAAACATTTTGCCCAATTGTGCTTTCACGGTTTCCTAAATTCGAATCCAAATAAAGTTAAGGTCAATCTTTATTATTGTATTGCCACTGGTATTAATTTGTCTCGTATAATTCAAACTGGCACTAGAATACTGTTTTGGCTTTGACATACATTGCGTTTCTCGAATTGCCTTTAAAAGCACTTAAACACTTTTCACTTTACTCAATAAGGCTAAATATCATTTGAAACATCCATGTTTGGTTAGTTTTGTATTAAATTGGTGTAACGGTTTCGCCACGTGCGTTTTCACTTTGTTTATGCCGAGAAAGTAAGCTTCAAAACTTTTCGTAACTTATAGCATTGAGAAAAGCGCGCGCTTTTTCCACTCTTAACAACAAACATGTGTGTTAATGTTGTTGCACTTCACAACAATAACACAATATTAATAAAAGTACATTTGCAATTGCACTTCGTAAAAGCTTCACTTCGATTATTTGCTCATGAGAGTGGGAGCGTGGCCTACGATGTGGCCGACGTTCGCCGATTGAACGCTTATAAAGAAAAGAACAAAAAGTCCGCACAACATAACTGAGTTTTTATTATTCAAGTATAAAGTTTATTATTTGAATTGGTTGTCGTCGTCGATTGCGCTGGTACATGCTACTGCACTGACAACTCGAAACGGAATAAACAAATTCCAAAACTTCAATTCTGCAGACGCGAGTGCTGGCGGCACACAATTGCCTCTTGAGTTGAAGCAGCGCGTTCGCGTGTACGCCAGCAACGCAGCGCATTAGTTTTCTGCTGCATATGCTACACTGACTTCTTCTGGTGCTGCTCCACGAGTCGATTCTTTTCAATTCTACGGCTGCAACAACAATAGCAGCAACTGATTCCTTGTACATTTGTAGCATGTACATAGCTCGCTTAACGATGAAAATCACAAAGCAACAACAACAAACATGCATGCATTATGCAGACGCGTCCCTTTCGCTCGATCGCATACTCACTCGGGGCGAGCTCACTCAGCGCGGCACATGCGACATCACTGGGCTCGCACAAATGGTCGTCTGGCAAACACATTGCACCCACTTAGACGGCTCGAGCTGGATATTGCAGCGCCGCGCAGTCAGTGCTCGGCCGCGTAGCGCAACGCACTTGAGTGCGAGTGTGTTTTGTGTGGTTGGTGGAAAACTCAGCGCAACAGCGCAGGCGGGCAATTTTCCAAAGTCTTTGCATTGTTGCGCACCTTTGCGTGTGGGAGTGTGCGTTCATGTGTCCGTATTTCTTCCTACAATTGTATTTGTCGAGTGCCGTTGAAACACACACGGACAGATCTTATACCTGCAACCTATGTAAATATGTGTGTGCTCGTGTTTTTTTTTGTGTCCACTCAATATTTTCCGCAGTGTCGTCCGATGTTTTTCATTGATAACTTCACTGTGTGCATATCTGATTAGGCCACTCGAATCTGCAAATGATTGGTAAATATACGCACGTGTGTATGTGTGTACCTTTCTAGATAAACCTACGTTTAGCATTTTGTCTTTTCACACATTTGACAATGAGTTTTCCTGTTCATGCAACAAAAGTGTTGTAGACCGTGTGTTTTGATTTGCGTGTCGCATGCGCCTGCGCAGACAAAAGCGCCTTTGGTGTACATCGCTGCATTACTGATTAGATTCTTTAAACATTTACTTACAACTTCGCTGATTTTCCCTCACATAATTTTTGTTTCAGAATAAGTATTTTGATTTGGAAGAGAGGGAATTGTGTGAATATAAAATTATCGGAACACCTGGGAAAAATATTATAGATCAAAATAAGCCAATATTATTGTGTTTGCAACTTTTTTTCTATAAAATGACTTTGTGAAAACTATCCTTATTTTTTTCGTTAGAATTTTTTTTAAGTTCACAAGAGTTCTGGAGTATTTCATTATGCAATAGAGAGATTACTATATACCATAGTTTTATTCATTATTGCAATGGGGATGATATGATTCATTTAGAATAGTTAAATTTCGATACATATAGGACGAATCAATTAGATTTATATTAGATGTCTATTGTTAAGCATTTATTACACCCTCAGCAGGGTATAATTAGTTTGTCAAAATGTTTGTAACACCCCGGAGGAAACGTCGGCGACCCGTTAAAATATATATATGTATAAAAGATCAGTATGACGCGCTAAGACGATTTAGCCTTGCCTGTCTGTATACAGTTTTGGAGATATCGGTCTGAAATTTTGCACACGTCCTCTTCTCCAGAAGAAGCGGCTCATATAGCAGTCATACAAATTAAACGATCAAAATCAAGTTCCTGTATGGAAAACTATTTAATGAAGAAATCTTCACGAAGTTTTGCTCAGATTATTTTCCAAATGAAGCGCTATAATCTCCGAACAAATTGTCCACATCGGACTATTACAATCTATAGATGTCATTTTAACTGTTAAATCAAGTTAGAGACCATTTTATACTCTTTTCCGCTATAAAAAATTTACCTGTAAAGGGTATTATAGTTTTGGTGCAACCGAGTTAGCTCTTTTATTTTCTTTATTAATTGAGTATTACACCTTGACCTATTTAAATAGGTTTTCGAAATAAAAGATCAAAATGATTCGCACAAATTAAGATTCATTAAAGGGTTAAGGGTAACGGTAAATTGTTATTTAAAAAATTTAGAAGGTACATCAAAAGCCAAACCATTCTTTAGTTGTGGTTTATATGGAATTTTCTATCTAGTATAATCGTACTTATAGTTCTAATAAAATACTTTGGGAATTAAATAATTTTTTTTTTTAGTGCTACCTTAGTCAAGGTCATTATATAGAAGAAATTATACAAGAGGAATTGTGAGATCCACTCTCATTTTATCTTATATTTTAATAGTCTACTAAAATTAGTTCCTAAGTAGAAATTATTACCACATTCGGCTATGACCTCATTACTATTAATTCCTCAGAGGCATCTCAAGTCACATTCAGAGGTTTAACCAAAGTTCGGGTAATATTATGCTTTAATTATACACAAAACATTTTAAGTCTTCGCTAAGAAGCCTCAGAAGCCTCGCGAAGAAAGCCATTGTTTACATTCCAATCTTGTTAAACTTTATTAGTCAAAGAGGCAGTTCACAACTATTTAATACAGAAGAGCAGTGAAGAATATCACAAACATGCCGTACACACATGTATTTATACGCGTAGGTTTGAGGAATCTCGCTACTAATGTGTTCCAGGGAATCGTAAATTAGCAATAACTAGAAGAATGTATTCGAAAGTGTTTT